CATCATCACTACAGCTTTGTAATATAACCTGAAGTCCAGAATTGTGATGCCTCCAGCTTTACATTGGCTATTCAGGGTCTTTTGTAGTTCTGTACAAATTTTAGAATTGTTTGTTCTAGATCTGTGAAAAATGCTGGTGGTATTTTGGTAGAGACTGCATTAAGTATGCAGATTACCTTGGGTACTATAAACATTTTAACAATATTTGTTCTTCCTATCCATGAGTCTGGAATGTTTTTCCATTTCTTTGTGTCATCTTCAATTTCTTTCATTAGTGTTTTATTGTTTTCAGAGTACAGGTCTTTCACCTCTTTGGTTATGTTTATTCCTAGATATCTTATTGTTTTTGGTGCAATTGTAAATGGGACTGATTCCTTAATTTCTCTTTCTACTGCTTAATTATTGGTGTACAGAAGTGCAACAGACTTCCGTACAATGATTTTGTATCCTGCAACTTTACTAACTTCATGTATTAGTTCCAGCAGTTTTTTTGGTGGAATCTTTTGGATTTTCTACATAGAGTATCATGTCATCTGCAAAGATAAACAAAGTTTTACTTCTTTCTTGCTGATTTGGATGCCTTTAATTTCTTTTTGTCATTTTATTTCTGTAGCTAGGACTTCCAGTACTATGTTAAATAACAATGGTGAGAGTGGACATCTCTGTCTTATTCCTGACTGTAGAGTAATGCTCTCAGATTTTCCCCACTGATGATATTAGCTGTGGGTTTTCCATGTATGGCCTTTATTATGTTGAGGTAATGCTCCCTCTAAACCTACTTTATTGAGAGTTTTTATCATGAATGGATGCTGTACTTTGTCAAATGTTCTTTCTGCATCCATGGAGAGGATGATATGGTTCTTATCCTTTCTTTTATTAATGTGCTGTATCATGTTGATTGATTTGTGAATGTTGAACCACCCGTGCAGCCCAGGAATAAATCCCACTTGATCATGGTGAATGATTTTTTAAAAATGTGTTGTGGAGGGGCGCCTGGGTGGCGCAGTCGGTTAAGCGTCCGTCTTCAGCCAGGTCACGATCTCGCGGTCCCTGAGTTCGAGCCCCGCGTCAGGCTCTGGGCTGATGGCTCGGAGCCTGGAGCCTGTTTCCGATTCTGTGTCTCCCTCTCTCTCTGCCCTTCCCCCGTTCATGCTCTGTCTCTCTCTGTCCCAAAAATAAATAAAAAACGTTGAAAAAAAAATGTGTTGTGGATTTGGTGTGCTAGTATTTTACTGAGAATTTCTGCTTCCATGTTTATCTGAGATATTGGCCTGTAGTTCTCTTATTTACTGCAGTCTTTATCTGGTTTTGGTATCATAGTAATGCCGGCCTCATAGAATGAATTTGGAAGTCTTTCTTCCTTTTCTTTTTTTTTTTGGAATAGTTTGAGAAAAATAGATATTAACTCTTCTTTAAGGGGCGCCTGGGTGGCTCAGTCAGTTGAGTATCCAACTTCAGCTCAGGTAATGAGCCCATGGTTCATGAGTTTGAGCCCCACATCAGGCTCTATGCTGACAGCTCAAAGCCTGGAGCCTGCTTCAGATTCTGTCTCCCTCTCTCTCTGCCCCTCCCTCACTCACATTCTGTCTTTCTTCCAAAATAAATAAACATTAACAAATATTTTTAAATAAATATTTGGTAGGGTCACCTGGGTGGCTCAGTTGGTTAAGCATCTTACTTTTGATTTTGGTTCATGTCTTGATGTCATGATTCTGAGATCAAGCCCTCCATGGGGCTCCCCACTGGGTGTGGAGCCTGCTTGGGATTCTCACTCTCCCTCTCCCTCTGCACCACTCATGCTGAATGAATGAATGAATGAATGAATGAATGAATAAATAAATAAATAAATAAATAAATAAATAAATAAATATTTGGTAGAATTTACCTGTGAAGCCATCTGGCCCTGGACTTTTTGTGTTGGGAGTTTACAGATTGGATTGTTTACTGATTCAATTTCTTATTAGTTTGTTCAAGTTTTCTGTTTCCTTCTGTTTCAGTTTTGGTAATTTATATGTTTGTAGAAATTTATCAATTTCCTCCAGGTTGTCAAATTTGTTGGCATATCATTTTTCATAATATTCTCTTATAATTTTTTGTATTTCTGTGCTTTTGGTTGTTATTTCTTCTCTCCCATTTGTGGTTTTATATTATTTGGATCCTTTCTCTTCTCTTTTTGATAAGTCTGGTAGAGGTCTATCAATTTTATTGATGTTTAAAAAGAACCTGCTCCACTTCATTTATATGTTCTATTTTTTCTTTTTTTTAGTTTCTGTATCATTTATTTATACTCTAATCTATATTATTTCCCTCCTTCTTCTGAATTAGGCTTCGTTTGTTCTTTTTCTAGCTCCCTAGGTGTAATGTCAGGTTGTTTATTTAACATTTTTGTTGCTTCCTGCGGTAAGCCTGTATATACTTTCCTCTTAGGACTGCTTTTGCTGCATCCCAATGGTGTTGGACCATCGTGTTTCATTTATATTATTTCCATGTATTTTTAAATTTCTTCTTTGATTTCCCAATCCCATTCTTTGTTTAGTAGCATGTTGTTTAGTCTCTCTTCTTCCTCCTCCTCCTCTTCCTCCTCCTCTTCTCCTTCTTCTTGGACTCCTATAATACCAATGTTATTACATTTGATGGAGTTGTTGAATTCCCTAAGTCTACTCTCATGTTCCATAATTCTTCTTTCTCTCTGTTGTTCAGTTTCATTATTTTTTATTATTTTGTCTTCTATACCACAAATTCATTCCTCTGCTTCTTCCAGCCTGCTGTTCATTGCATTAAGCCTGCTTCCAATCTCATTTATTGCATTCTTCACCTCTAATTGATTCTTTTTAACTCTTTTACCTCTGAGGGAAGAGTCTCCCTGATGTCTTCTATTGCTGTCTCAAGCCCAGTGAGTATCTTTACAATTGTTGCCTTAAATTCTCCATCACCATATTACTTATATCTGCTTCACTGAGATCCCTGGCTGTAGCCATATCTTATTCTTTCATTTGGAATAAATTCCTCCATCTTGGCATTTTGTCTAAGTCTCTCTGAGTTCTTCTGTGTGTTAGAAAAACCAGCAATTTCTCCTGATTCTGAAAGTAATGGCCTTATGAAGAAGAGATCATGTAGTGCCCAGGGCCTGGAAGTTCAGGGTATGACTCTGGTGTGTGCTGAGTGTGCTCTGCTGTCGTGTTGTGGCTGCTTTATTCTTATGACCAGTCATCTGCAGGTGCTCTCCTTGCCTGCAGTGAGCAGTGTTTGATCTCTTGCTGAAATGTGGTGAGTTTTAACTAGGTGTGCTCTGGTCCACTTGTGAAATGAGACCCCACACCAACTCTACCAAAACTGAGACCCTGCAGGACTCTCTGGTTGGGAGACGTGGTGTGCGAGGGGGTTTGTGCTGGTCTTTTGTGGGAGAGAACTGTCACCCTGGGATGAGGCAAGCTTGACTGAGAAAGGCAGACCCGTGAGAGCATAGGAGGGAGGAGCTTGGTGTTAGGCAGGTTAGGCAGCTACTGTCTGTGCTGAGCTGCTTTCTGCAGGTAGGTCTGTGTTTATGCATGGGGGATGGAAATGGTGTCTGCCAAGCCTGCTGATCTTTAAAACTCCAAGTTTTAAGTGCTGCTAGTTGCAAGAATTCACAAAAATCAGCCCCTCTCATTTTGCAAGCCAATGGCTTTGGGGAAATGTTCTCCTTGTACATTCCCCTGTGTGTTCCTCCCTCTCTTGCCTTTGTCCATGACCAAGGCTCCCTCTCTTCTGCTGCACCCACTATTCATTTTTCCCCCAAACCATGTCTCTGCACTTCCTACCTTCCTTGATGTGGCCTCTTCTCTCCCCTAGTTGTGGAGTTTGTTCTGCTAGTCTTCGGGTAGATTTCTGGGGTATTTAGGATGATTGAATACTTATTTAGTTGTGTTTGTGGGATGAAAGAAGCCTAGAGTCCTCCTACTCTGCCATCATCTTCCTCTCTCTGACCCCTGAAGGATATTGTTGAGAACTTACCCTATAAAACTGTTACCTATTATAGCAATGATTTCTAAATGTGGCTGCATAAGAAAATCATCTGGAGAAGTGTTGGAGGGAATGAAGAGAAATTGGAACTCATACACTGTTAAGGGAATATAAAATAGTTCAGCCACTTTGGAAAGATGTCGGAAGCACTTGATAAAGTTAAACACACGCTTACTATATGACCATGCAAGTGCACTTCCACATGTTTACTCAAGAGAAATAAAAGCATTTGTTCAAACACACTGGTCTAAGTAGCTTACCTGTACTGATTTATATAATTGTCACAACCACTTTATGGGACAGGCACTATGGTCACTGCCATTTTATAGATGAGAAAATGAAGACACGGACAAGTAACTTGCCTAACATCATACAGCTTCTAAATGGCAACCTCAGGTGTGTCATGGATGGAAACTTAATCTCAAAGATGCTCATGCATGTTTAGATAATATATATGGTAATCTTAGTGCATCCTTAACTATTGGTATTCTGGGTGATATGAAAATTAAAATAACGATATCATAAAGAGGGATGCCTGGGTGGCTCAGTCGGTTAAACGTCTGACTTTGGCTCAGGTCATGATCTCGTGGTTTGTGAGTTTGAGCCCTGTGTCGGGGTCTGTGCTGACAGCTCGGAGCCTGGAGCCTGCTTCAGATTCTGTGTCTCCTTCTGTCTCTGCCCTTCCCCCACTTGCACGGTCTCTGTCTACCAAAAATAAATAAATGTAAAAAAATTAAAAAACTATATCATAAAGATTTTTTAAAGTTTAGAAAATATTGAAAAATAACTTCAGAAAGAGGGATCTGTGTTTTCTGTCAGTCTTATTCTTCCTAGGAGTCAATGAAGAATTCAGTGAATGGGACACTAATAAAACAGCAGGAATGAAGGCCTGGCCATTAGCTAGAACAGCCTTTTGTGTCTGTTTTGTGTCTTTGTATGTCTGCTATCACTTCTCATTCCTTGATATTTCCTCAACCTCTCTTTAGGGTAAGGCCAAGATGTACCACTTACAAGGCCCCCAAGTGCTGCAGATGCTAAAGAAATCCTTGAGGAAGAGCCTCCCTGAGTCCTTAAAGGTGAGAGTAAAACACATGGGGAGAAAAAAAAAAGGACTAGCAATGACCTATGAAAGAGGTAGGAGGGAGAATCAGTATTCTTTGAGCACCTACTCTGTGCCAGGCACTCACTCATCTTGCATCTCATTTAGTTTACATCACTTCACTGCAAGGCAAGTCTTTCATATCCATGTAACCAAAGAGGAAATGCAAGCTCAGCTGTAGGACTTGACCAAGGTCACGCCACTAGTGAGTGGCAATCCTGTGATTTAAATCCACTATGATCTTTGCTGTGTGATAAACCAAAAACATCCCTTTGTCCCATTCCATGTGCCATTATATAACATTGGAAGATTTCCCAGAAATGCACAATTGGCTGAACACGTTAATGTTTGATTTATTCTTTCTAAATAATCAAGTGCCTGAAAAAGTTAACCAGTATGATTCTCCTTTGAAATTAAGAGGCCAAATTCTATTTTGTCAAACCCCAAATGATTACGTTTAATTTGGGATGAGACAGAAATTTCATTTTAGAAATAGATCAGTGATCGTGTACATAAAGAGGTAGGGTCTTTTTCTGGGGGGGCAATAACATGTTGCAAAGGGACTAGAATATTACTGGGGATAAAGGTGCCATTGCACTATGATAAAGGTATCAATTCACCAAGAAGACATGAAAAATGCTGAAACGTATATACCTAACAACAGAGGTTCAAAGAACACGGGACAAAAACTGATAGAACTGAAAGAATAAATAGGTAAACCCATAGGTGTAATTAAAGATTTTGACATTAGGGGCGTCTGGGTGGCTCAGTCGGTTGGGCGTCCGACTTCGGTTCAGGTCATGATCTCGCGGTCCGTGAGTTCGAGCCCCGCATGGGGTTCTGTGCTGACAGCTCAGAGCCTGGAGCCTGTTTCAGATTCTGTGTCTCCCTCTCTCTGACCTTCCCCCATTCATGCTCTGTCTCTCTCTGTTTCAAAAATGAATAAACATTAAAAAAAATTAAAAAAAAACAAAAAACAAAACAAAAAAAAAGATTTTGACATTAAAGATTCTATGAGTAATTTATAGAATAGGCAGAAAGTCTATAACCTATATACAAGATCTGGAAAGTACTATGAACCAATTTAATTGATATTTACAGAGTACATCCCTCAACAATAGAAGAATACACATTCTTTTCAAGTGCACATGGAACATGTACAAAGATAGATCATATTTTTAAGACCTTTGAAAGAATTGAAATAATACCATGTGTGTCCTCTCATCTTAAGTTTAATATGGTATTAAATATGCCAGGAGTAGGGAAGTACAGGGTGAGGTGTGGTCCTTTGTCATGGAACTTATCATTTCATTGGTCCTTGGTCTTTAGCATCTTTCCATACAATCTGCTGAAGCATCATGTTTCCAACTGCACTTAGCTCCCAAGGTCCACACTGGTATGCATTGCTGTATTTCCTTCCCTCACAACCACAGGTACCCTTCCAGTTTGGAGGATTTCTCTTTCTCAGACTCTACAATGTCCTTCTTGATAGCACTGGTGTTCCAATAAATGCTTGTGGAAAAGATTAAAAAACAGATTGCTGAATATGTGATATTCACAGACTTTGGTCAGCAAAACTCAGGTTCTTAGCACTGTTCTGTCTTTACTTATTAAATAGGTCAGAACTCACCCTTTCTGGAAAGCAATTTGGAGATATGTGTAAGAACAAAAAAGTCTTTAAACAGCAATTGACCTTTGACCCAGAAATCGCCCTTCTAATATTTCTAATAATAGACATATTTGCAAAGATTTATACAAAAAATTCCTTGAAGAATAAACTGTTAAACTAAAAAATTCAAAAAAGCTGAAATGACCAGCAATAGGAGATAGGAAAATTGAATTGGAGTTCTTTCATATGATGGATATTATGCAGTCATTAAAAATGGTTATGTAGATTTGTGTTTATTGATATGGAAATATACCCATAGTATAGTGTGTGACAGCTCGGAGCCTAGAGCCTGCTTCAAATTCTGTGTCTCTGTCTCTCTCTACTCCTCTCCTGTTTGCACTCTGTCTCTCTTGCTCTCAAAAATTAACATTAAAAATTTTATGTGGATGGAGAGGGAAGATGGCGGCGTAGGAGGACGCTGGGCTCACCGCGCGTCCTGCTGATCACTTAGATTCCACCTACACCTGCCTAAATAACCCAGAAAACCACCAGAGGATTAGCAGAACGGAGTCGCCGGAGCCAAGCGCAGACGAGAGGCCCACGGAAGAGGGTAGGAAGGGCGGCGAGGCGGTGCGCGCTCCACGGACTGGCGGGAGGGAGCCGGGGCGGAGGGGCGGCTCGCCGGCCAAGCAGAGCCCCCGAGTCTGGCTTGCAAAAA